GACCACTGAGATCAAGTTAAAAGGTTTACGGATGAGGGCAAATTATGGTGCATGATTCAGTTTTTAAAATATGTAGAATTTATTTATTTATTTTTTTACATATTTTGATTTATGTAGAATTCACGGGAATCATGTGACACCAATGGTTTTAGAAGAACTTTACTGTGTTTTGTTTGTTTTCTTGGCAAGAAGTTTACAGTTTATTGTTAAAAAAAAGCAACACTTCTTCTCTCATTTTGTTCTATGATTTTTTTTCCATTTGTTTGTGATAATCTGCATGATTCAAATGTGTCACTTATTTTATTTTCTGCATAGAAAAGCCTGATGAACATTATTTCTGCATCTGCTGACTCGTCTGTGTTTGTATTTGTGCGTTTAGCTGCAGATTTGGGGGCGGACGTAAATCTTTGTGAGAAGGAGCTGACGGTGGAGAGCTCCAGTGAGTATCTGAGGCCGTGCCGACGCGGCCCTGGTTCATGTCTCCAAACTCTGGTTGACTTCCTGTTGGAGACTCACAACGGCCTGGTGAGGGAGACCAGGCGAGTGAGCGGCCAGGAGGGCAGGTCAGTTCTGCGCCGACAGCAGCCTGAGGTCGTTGCAGTCACATGCTAGAATGGCCCAGTGAGAGTCAATACTAGAGCATCCTCGACATCTGGGGTCGCCCTGTTACTGATTTTGTGAGACTCCCAACTGCAGTTCAAGAATGATACAAATTCGGCCCATCCATCACAGGTATTTGATGCAAATTGAGATTTTTATTTTTGTTTGAAATAAGGGTAAAGTTATTGGAATGGAAAATGTTAAGTTCAGTACAAAATATTCACTTTTTTATAATTAAACTTTTATCATAAGTAGAACCAAGTCGGAGCAAAGACTTTAACTGAAAAGCCGACTTTGCTGCACCAAAATCAGCTCTTATCTAATTTGCTAAACTCGGCTAAATATGGGGAGCTTTTTGAAAGAAAGTGACCCAAATTCTGTTCTTGTAACTCTGAGTAAATTTGTTCAATCGAGCCCAAGAGAATTAAAAAACTAGATGCCTTGTTTGGTTAAAATTTTGCACATTTAGTTTATTGTTGAGTAACCGAAAAAAAAACAAAAACGTTTTTTTGTTTTTTTTATTTCTTTGGCTCACATGACAAAACGTTTGGACTCCCCTGCTCTACGTGAAGGAATGACTCTAGGAAGTTTATTTTATTCATGTAGATTTTAGATTCATCCATAACCTCTGAAACGCTGTTTTCCTGCCTGTCCTGTCACCTTCACAGTGACTACAGCGTTCCACTAGAGAGGATATCTGAGACCCAGCTGACTCTGTGCCACCCTGAGCGAGAGCTGCTGCCGCTCGTTTTAGCAAACTGCAACTACACTCTGCAGAAAGGCGGGCAGACGGACAGCAGCTACGACCTGCAGGTCATCCAAACCCAGCTGGCTCGCCGCTTCCTGGCTGGAAAACCGCTCATCCAGGCAGTAAATACTGTATATATATATACATAGCCTTAATGCAAATTGCAAAACAGTGAACTTTCTGCTAATCTGCATATTTTCTTTCTCTGAATCAGGACACTTCCAGGTACCTTAACAGAAGTTTGCAGGATTTCTCTGTGGTTCTAGCTGAAGTGAGAGGGAAGATTAATCAGGTAAGTTTTTTTTTTTCATTGACTCATTTTTTTTTACAGTTGGTTTTTTTCTTTTTCCTGGAACTGAGTAATGCCAGCTGCAGAATGTTTTCAGTAGATCTCCTTGATGGATTCCTGCGAGTCCAGACTGTCGGAGGTCAGAGAGCAGCACATCTGCTGCTCTCCTCTGGTCTGCTCATAGCCTCCGTGTGTCTGTCACAGGAAGCCCTGAAGGGCTCGGTGAGCAGCGCCACAACTACTGTCATGCGTTCGTACACTGACGTTTGTGATGCCGTGTTCGTGGTTGAGATCGGCCTTCGCTTCCTGGGAAAGGCAGGCGGAGATCCAGAGGGTCAGCTGCTGTCTTACCTCACAGACTCCCTGAAGATGGGTCCGCAGATCTCCAACGCTGTCGCCAAGGTGTGAACCGTCTACAAGTATCTCTGCGGCAGCAGAGATATCAGATTTATACTTACTGACGTTCTCCTGCACCAAATGCTGCAAATATTGTTCTGAAAATTAATCCTGTAAAAATGCATTTGACAACTTTGTCTTCAGGTCTTTGTAACACGTAGCCAATAAAATAAACAGCTCATATTGTGCAAAATTCATTTTCTCTCTAAATTTAAAATCCATTCTCAAAATTTAAAATCTGTTCTTAAAATTTTTAGAAAGTGTGGAGGATTCTCGTTTATATTTGTGCAAAAACATTTCAGTTTATATTTAAAACTGATCATAAAATCAACTGTAAATAAGCACTTAAAAAAATACAATTTCCCATACTACACTCTATAGGAGATGTCCATTTCAAAAACACTAGGACTTAAAATAAACAAGTAGTTAGACCTAAAAGTATTCATACTCCTGAAGATTTAGATATAAAACCAGTTTCTGATTGGAAATGAGACAAGCGTCTCTCAAAAGATAAAGTTAAAGGAGTTTCAACTAATTAAACAATAATTTATCTTAATTAGAATTAGTTTGATAAAAATGGGATGTCAAAGATTATTTATGCACTTCATAGTAATTAATGAAAGAATCTATATTAATCAGAACAAGCAAAACTTTCTATTGATTACCTGTCAGCTTTTTGAACGTTTCCGCTGTTTTAATGTTGAGCTTTAAGTCTTTGTGGTTGGAAGGACTCTTCGCCATCACCCTTATCTTTAGTTCCCTCCACAGATTCTCAATCTAATTTCTCCAAACCGTTATTACTTCTAGTCAGAGGAAAAATGTTTGACAAATTGAAAGATTGCTTAATTCTTCCAAAAATTGTGGACTTAACTATAGATTGAGTGGGAGATGTTTTAGTTCCTTACTGCTTTATTGCTGGCTACAGCCTTGACATTCTGCTGTTATATCTGAACAAAATTCACATTTCTGATTAATTTTAAAGCTTTGGGGGGCATCTTTCTCCTTCAGGGTCTCGGGGAAAGCAAACTGAAGCACAGCATCTTCACCTGGCAGCTTCTCAATTCTTGGAAATCGGAGCTCATGCTCAGCAAGAAGCAGGTAAGTCTGAAAAATCCCAGGAAGCTTCAGTTTGAATGCAAGTTTTTTTTTTTAATTAGTTTGTAAATTTTGTATGAAAAATGTACAGCTTTTGTGGTAAAAATGCAGGCTTAAAAAGTAATTTGCATTAGTAATTTGAAAGCTTCGAAGTTCAGACATAAAACTAAACAGATCGAAGGATATTCAAGAAAAGAAACTGTCACTGTAGAAAGAGAAATTGTATTTATCTCGCGAAGTTACTTATTTCTTTAATTTAAATTTTAATGACTGCAGTGTTCTTATTATTACTATTATTTTAAAAATGTCTTTTATTTAACAGTTTACATTTACAAACAAAGGGTATATTGTTCATTATAAAACAGTATTTTTTTTTTAATAATGAGTGGGCCATTATTTGTCTTGATATATTTATATTTCTCTCATAGACTTAAAGATTGTAAGCCTGTGAGAGAGTTTCATCTATAAAACTCTTTCTCACAAAAACGATTTCAAAAACCTTGTGAAGTTCTGTGGAAGCACCTAAACGTCTTACTTCTGACTCCAGACAGATCCAAACCACAGAACATGGTTTTGGGTTGTAACGACTTTTCTGAATGCTGGTTCCAGGACCCGTTTCACAAACTGCCTCCAGAGTTCCAGCAGAAGCTTTCGGAGGAGGAGAGAAAAAGGATGAAAGCTTTCTTTACTGTCACAGATGTTGAAACTTTCACCTTGGAGCTGCATGAAATCCTGCTGCTGAAGACGAGCAATGCGTTGCCCGAAGAGCGTTACCAGCCTCAGTGGGAGTAAGATAAAGCGATTAACATTTCTTCTTCTTCTGTGAAATGTAATTTACAACGTGTGTGTGTGTGTGTGTGTGTGTGTGTGTGTGTGTGTGTGTGTGTGTGTGTTTGGTTTTGGGAGGAGGTTGCCACCAAGTCATAAAATCATCCCTAAAGAATTTAAAGTTATGATTTTGGTTTACCAGATTTGGGAGGAATTTTTTCAGGAAGTGTGCCTATTGTCAGTTAAAGATTACCACCAGGATCTAGAGGAATCTGGTGAATCCTGACAGCTTTAATCAGAGCAACGTGTGGCAGCCTTAACTGGCAGTCTCCCAGACCCTCAGGGATTTGGAGCCTTTTGACTTCCAGGATCAGAGCGTGACCCCTCCAGGCAGCCATCTGTCAGCAGAAAAAAGCTTAAGTTGTACCCCCTCTGCCACCGCTCACTCTTGTTAAAGCAGCAGCTGGGCCAGAACTCAAAAGGGAATGCATGGGGTGAAAACAATAGATCCAGAGCTGACAGTTGTTTTCTCCATCTTCCCCCTCCCTGCTGTTTGCAGCATCAAGTGCATCTTAGAGAGCCATTTGGAGCAGAAAAAGCTTCCACCTCTGCAGGGACTGGAGGATTTACCAGAGGACATCCTGCTGGGGAAAGGAGCTGATGTATGGAGAGCTGCTGTGGAGTTTAAAAGGAGATAGAAAACCTGGAATAAGATGTATTTATTTGTTTTAAATAAGGGGACCTGATTATAATTACATTTTCCTTTCCGTTGTGTATATATTGCAGCATATTTTAATTGTTCTTTATCTCTTAATTATGTCCTACAGGGTCAGTTAATAAAATTATGAATAAAACTTTGTCTCGTGATTATTTGCAAATGCTCAATTTGAGAAAGTGTTGGTTTAAAAGTCAACCAAACCGTTTGGGAAGACACGCCCCCTATAATCCGTACATTAGGCTGACACTTCTCTGCGACCAATCAGATGAAAGAACACGCAAACGCTGTATCCGTGTCCACCAATGACAGACGGCGGGGGGTGGGGATTTATCCGTGTTGTTACCACAGAGATGATGATACGCGTTATTTGCTCCACTGTCCACGGAGGACTTTCGCTGTTTATCGGAGGATTTTTTTGGAAATAAAAGCCACGTCCGTGGGAGCATACTCCAGATTATCCACCATGATGCCATCCCGTCCGTGAAGTGAGTCTTTCCTCCAGAGGAGAAACTGATATGTTTGGTTTTACGGCCGTTAAGGGAACAGTTAGCTTGAAAGGCTCCCACCAGACTTCATTTAAAAAGCACCGTTTTTAGTACTTTTCTAATAAGACATGTTTGCGCTGTTATCATTTCAACTGAATCTCGAATTACGAAATCACAAATTTTACCCATGATTTAAATATTATCATAACGTTACGGAGCATGTATCCTTTTGTGGTAATATTTAAATTTGGGTTATGTTAACTTGCAAGTGTTGCGTGTAATTCTGTGTTTGATTCAGAGGTAGGCCAAGCAAAAAAGGAAATTAGGCAGGTGCTTAGGGTCTCCCAGAAACGTTTTTACAGAAGTCAGATGCAGTTAAGTATATTTTTATTCAGTACTAATTATACAAAACAAGTTATTGGGTATACTTGCAGCATTTTCAGGACTTGTCCATCTTCCACCATAAAGCTACAGCCTTTTAAGTAGTCCTAAAGCTTATGAAAAGTTAAAACCTACAGTCACAGAAAGTATTTATCTTTTTTGTTAAGATGTTACCAGGGGGAACATTAAAAAAAAAAATCTTTGATACATGATCTGCTTTATTAGTGGTTAAATAATGAAGTATTTAATTTTTGACAGTCTCTTTATTCAACCTAAAAATAATGTTTGTTACTGTAGAATATACTAAATCCAGCTGAGAAAACAAAATTACATTCCATTATTTTTTTTTTGATAGGAAACAGTATGGTTGAAGTCTGAAATTGAAATTAGACATAGATTTCTGATGACAAATGTTATGGAGGTATTGGATGACATAAATTTAAAGACTTATGCTTTAGAAGTGCAGTTTTTAAAATCTCTTGATCAAATCAAATACGTTTTTTTTTTGTTGGAGCAAAACATTAATGACATTTTAATTTTTGCTGTTAACATAAATGAAAATTATAGCTGAATAGTCTAAGTATATCTACCAACAGGAACTACTGAAACTGCATCCTGTGATAGTAGGTAAAAAGCTGGTTTTGAGGTGATGTTGCTGCCAGAAACGTCACCGGTCAAGTTTTTATAGCAAGAATACAAAGCAGCAGACCAAAGGAGCATTCTGTTACATAATTTCTGTTTTATCCTCAGCCAGTGTTATTATTTGACCTCCAGAAACAAGAACAGAAATTTTCTTTAAGTGTTATTACATAGATGATGTCAAGTGGCTAATGTGATTAAAATAATATACTTTATGCTCACTTTATTATATCATGTGCTGACTTTTTTTTGTTTGTTTGTTTTGCACTAAGTATGACATAGTATAAATGTTTGAATACTAAATATAAAAGAGACGTTAGCTGAGCTATGATGACTGATGGGCAGCAAAATTTATTGTCATTTAAAATCTTGGAGGCTTTCAAAGCATCTTAAACATGCTTTTAGTTTTAGGACCTCTTTTCACAGCAGCTTGCAGACATGTAGTATGTAGACATGTAGTTAATCTGCAACTCTATTAACTAAATGTTTCTTTACCAAAAACTGTTCCTGTTACCGACTGGGTCAAAGTTTGTAGTTAAGAACTACCAAAAAGTAGCTTTTTAGTAAGCATTATTGACCTTCAGTGGTAGTACACCATAAATACCTTAAGTTATTTAGGTCACAAATCAGATTGTAGATTTATAGCTGACGCAGTAAACTATTTGGAAACGTAACCAGAGGATTCCATGTTCTTCCAGTGGCTGGGAATTTAGTGAGTGGATTTGTTGTTGGGTGTTGCGGGGGGAGCAACAGGTTGCTGTTCTTCAGCGGTTCAACTCTCTGAGTCCTCATGTAAACAACATGCTGAACTGACTTCATCAAACAAGCTGTTAAAATTTAACTCTGAATATTATTTCAGTGCAAGTCAGCAGCAGCAGCAGAAATAGATGATTCTGCAATTATTGGGTGTTTCAGAGGACTAGAGACTAGAGTACTCGTCTTGAATGTCAACTATATGAAAAAAAAAAAAACATACCTTGAGCATCCTCTTCACAGTATAACTCTGAAGATGTTTAGTTATAAATATTAAAAAGATATCTTAATGACCCTTTGGAATTTAAAAAGTATTATTCGCTTGAACTAAACTGAATTGATGAAGCAGTTTGCAAACATTTCATGTTGCTAGATTTATTGTGTAGTTATGAGGAGAATTATACCAGTGTAACAGCTGAAAGACACCTAAACTGGTTAAACTCAAGTTATTAAGACTTTTCTATTGAGCAATTTATTCACCCAAATTTGTTTTTAATCACTATGTTTTTTTATTGATTTAAACTTTACAAACAACAAATTTGATCTCTTAATTCATCCGTAACATTCTGCTTAAACACAACCACCTAAGATCTATAGCTCTATAGATAATCTATCTATTTAACTGTGATGCAACCGTTGACAATTGCGCTTAACTCAAATTTGTCTAACTCTTTTTCTTTCACCTCAGAGCTTTTGCAGACGCAGAGTACTAATTTTAGTCGCAGTAATAGTAGTTTTTATTTACACGCAACAATTTGGAAGGTTACGGACTAGAATCCAGCTGGTCATACGACCTGGCACAGGAGAATAAAGAGTCTCTAGTGATGAAAAGGTGTGTCACCACAGTCACCTTCCGTTTAACTTTTTTAATATTTATGTTCAGGTAGGATTTTGTTACCAAAGCAGAGCAGTAAATGCTAAAATGTCACAACTTTTGAACATTACATTTAACTACTGGTAATCTGCTTGATATGTAGTGTCAGTGCCTCTATTGTTTATTACTTAACGCCCTCCAAAATGCCTTTCTGCAATGTTTTCCAGATTTTAGAAGCATGCATACGACACGCAGCGCCTCGTCTGTCCCGCCGTGTTCTTCTGGTGATGCTGTGGACCTCAGCCTGTTGGGCTCTCGGCTCTCCATATCCAAACGGCCCAGCAGCGCGTCTCCAGGGAAGCACTTCTCTCGGTCGGTGTCGGTGTCTGTGGCCGCTGATGGCAGAGGGAAGCGCAACACGCTGGTGGGCTTCTGCTAAGAACAGTTTGTTTTTGTTTTGGTTTTTATCGACTCCTCCTGGCCATTCCCAACAAAGCTTCTCTACCCGCAGAGCGACACCAACTCCGGGAGCTGCCGTTCCATCAAGAACCTACGGCGATCCAACAGCACCACTCAGGTCAACCAGCAGGCCAACCTTGGTTTAAGGTGAAGACGCACACACACACACACACACACACACACACACACACATATGCACACGTTCTGGATCAGGAGTGTCTATTTTTGAATCAGTTTTTCTTATTTCTCTGAGTCAAACTAGTTTTTTGTCATTGACACAGTGAAGTGTGATCACAACAGGATGTGCAGATTCATGTCTGCTGTGCCTCAGGCTGAAATCCTGTCGAAATCAAATATTTTATGGCGTTAACTTAGAAATATTTTCAAGGAATTTTGCAATATTTCGACTTGCGTATGATGTTAAAGGTGACGTTTTGTTACTCGCAAAGTTGGTCACTATAACTTGAGATTGAATAAGGCTGAGGGAGCAATGTCATAAAATTAAGAAATACCGCCCAACTGCAGAGTTGGCATCAATTAAGCCCAGTTGACTTGACCAGGTTTGACTCAAAACTATGCATTAACGTGAAAAATGCAGGGATTTTTTGCAGGAATTTACACAACTGCTGGAGGGACTGATTGATGTAATTTGGCATCTGGAGTATTAAGGGCCACATAAAAAGCTATGGCGGCCTGGATTTAGCCCCTGGACCTTGAGTTTTGACACGTGCAACAAATCGCAAAATTTGAAGGAATCGCTTTGTGTAATTGTCAGGAGAGAATTTGGACTTTGCAGGTAACACACACAGTCTGTGCGCTGTGATTGTGTCAGACCCTCAGCTCTGTTGTGGAGCTCTTTAGACTGAAGCCTGAGCGACAGCTGGCAGCCCTGAAACTTTGTCGTTTCGGACAATAGGAGTTGTGCTCCTAAGTTATAGCGTGGGGAGAAGTCGGGCGTTTGCTGCTGGGGTCTTGGAGGGTTTCCGGGCCTTCTTTGTTCCGTGTTAGAGAGGGGGGGAGGGCCAGGACTTCTCGGGTCAGGTTACCCCCTCTGCCAGAAGCTGGTAAAAAGAGAAGAGTGTGTTCACGTTCACATTCTATTGTCCGGCAGCTGCCATCAGCCTCCTCCTCTCCCTCTCTCTCTGCTTCAGCTGGAGGAGGGGGCTTTAAATGTAGAGACTCTGAAAATACCCCCCCACAGTCCATGGAGTCTCTTTAGGCTCTCGGCGGGTCACTCAGCGCCCCCCTCCCCGCTGCATCTATCCCTTATCGTCGAGCACAAACTGGAGGAATGTGCTGCCTGAATAGAGGAGTCAGATAGCTTTTCACTGGGCCAGCTGGCTGCGCCCCCCCCCCGCCTCCTCCCGAAGACCCATGAATTCAGTTAAGACAGATTCAGCCAGACTAGGGGGTCGCCCCCCATCTGCTCATCGTGGCCCAAGAGGCTCCAGGTCCTCAGGACCGACATATGGACACATTTACTTGGAATCCATCACAGAGTTTCTTCCGAAGAAGACAGTCAGCTGCAGCACACTGAATTCCAGAAGAACAGAACGGGAGGGGTCCCTTTTATCCAGCTGCCATGACGACGGTTAATCACAAAAAGCTGCTGTGATCCGAGCTGTCAGAAAATCTGCCAGACGAGCTGCAGCAGCTCAGACAAAACCGAAACCCACGTTGGCCTAAAGCTGCCGTGTCATCCTCTTTTAAGGAGTCGCTGAGATTAAATTACATTTGTTCAGCTTCTGGAATAAACGTGCCTGGTTTGTGTGTGTGTGTGTGTGTGTGTGTGTTTTTTTTT